AGAAATAGGATAAAGAGTAATGGAAGGACATCACATATTAACTCAAAACTTCAGTATTTGAATTAATAGGTCATTCTTATTTATTTTATTCTCCATTCGTCCCAAATGACATGACACTTTTAGACAAAATTACATATATTAATAAAACTCATTAAATACATTTTACAATCTTACTTTTTAAAGACAAAAATATAAACTTTTAAAAATGCCCTTCATTTAATACTCAATTTGTAAAGAATATTAAAGAGAGGGAATATGAGGGAAGGGTAATATTGAAAAAGTATCATTAATAAAACCATCTTAAAAACTAACCATATGAAAATCTCATCTAAAAGTATTTTATAATTTAGGACAAAAGTAGTATTAATTATTAAACTCAATTTTATGACATCTTGAAAACTAACCATTTGATTAATTTATCTAACTAAGGGTAAATAAGTAATTTTGCATGTAATTGTATGTGTTTGGATGGTTAAAGAGGGCTAATGGACCTAATAGGTTATGGTTGCAGCTTGGGGATTAGGCTCAAAGTAAAGTTAGGTCATTTGTGCTCTGAAAGAGGAAGATAACTTAGGAGGCCCTTTGTTGTACCATACATCGCAGCATATGCTACATGAGCCGTGGCATATCACTCAAAAAAGGAAAAGATCCTTTTGTGTGCTATTTACCACGATGCGTGTTGCGTGTGCCATGGTGTATGGCCAAAAATTTTAATAAAGAACACAAGTTGCATGCAAAAAGAGAGAGGGATAAAAATAGAGTTTCTGAGAGAGGGATGAGGAGCACGACTTAACTCTTCTATTTGTGAAGGATTGGAGCTTCCTATCACCTCTAATAAGTTTCACTACCTTTCTTTTTTCTTTTCTATACTACTTCTATCTAGGGTTTGTAGTTAGAAAATAATTTTCAAACTTATAGGGTTATAGATTCAAACTTATTGATTCAAATAAAATTAATAAGAGTTCTTTGAGTTAACTAAACCTAAGTTTAATAATTTTGAATGTCCATGAGAGTGTGCTCTCTTAAAAAGATGAATTTATGTCCTAAATACCATTAATGATGGTGGTTAAGGTGGTTGGGCTATAACAAATATGGTTTAAAGAGTTTAATAAGGTTTGTTAGAGCTAATAGGAGTTAAGAAACTCAATGGGTATGATTGACTACAAGAGCTTGGGATGTCGAGTAGTTAAAGTATTAAAATAGAGAGTTAAGATTTTGTTAATGAGGATATTAATGATTGTTGGTATGATAAATTATAGATTAATCATTTTTGACACCATTTAAGCTTGGCAAAGCTTTAAAAGTAGTTGTTATTGATGGGTAAATATTTGACCTTTTAAAGATTTCAAGTAATCAAAAAAAATTTAGCTTATGCAATTGTTTGTTAGTTAATTATAGATATTTGTGATTTGCTTTGAAAATAGAAATGTAACTTTTAAAATGTGAAAATGCAGGGATGGCATGAAATAAACATTTATATTATTGTGATAAGCATGATCTTGCTTCTATTAATTTATGAGTGTTAGGCAAAGATTGAAAAGAATGCACATGGTATCAATGTCATGAATCATGAAATTGAAATTTGTGATGTAATAGTGATTTGGTAAATTATGTTGATATGGGAATGATGGATGATGTGATAGGTATAAAGCATGAGAATTTACATGCTTAAATATGATGTTTGAATGCTTTGCATGCAAAGAACATGTTGATTAGGGATATGCATGCTATGTGTTAATTATGAATTGAGTATATGATTATTATTGGTGGCAAGACTGCCATTAGAGCTTGATGGTTTATCGATTATTTAATGTCTCACTTGTTCAATGAGAAACTATTTCATGGTTTATCGAAAGAATCAAACCTAACTAGTTTCTACTTGTTCAACAAAAAAGCTAGTTTAAAGACAGGACACCACATAATGTGTTATTTGGGGAAAGTCGTGGTTCAAGAGTGAGAGTAATAGCTTTAGCTAGGTGGCTTCTCATAATTAAAGAGCTTGGGTAGTTTATTCATACAAACAAACCCACTGATTTAATAGCCCATGACTTCATTCGAAGGTATTAGGATAATATAAGAATGGTATTGATAATACATAGCATCTTGTAAGTAACATGGTTGTTATTATTTTGATATTATGCATATCTTTGTTTAAGGTCACGTGATTGTTAGTATTGTGACTGTACTAGATTGATAGTTATGGTGATTATATGATGTCTTTTACTATACCACTTGCATTTTTTATGGTTATTTGACTTGCATTTGTATAAGTTAGATTGACCTTTATTATTAAGTAGTTGTACTTATCCCTTTCTATTTAATAATTTATAAGTACTAGCATGAGGTAAGATAGAAGGAAAGCTTCAGAGGCTTAGGATTGATTATTTGATTATTTTGATTAATTGTATTTAATATTGATAATTGCCAATAAGGGATTCATACTTTTGATAATTACTTGCACTTTATTGTTGATATTGATTGGTGTATTTTAGCCCTTGTGGTTGTGCTTATAATTTGATATGTTAAGGCAGGGCTAAAATACTAGCGCAAGTATAGATTTGACTATATATGCATGTTAGTGGATGGCTATATTGAATTTTGATACGAAATTGCTTTCCTCTTTTATTTTTGAGATTAAAGGGTTGAGGGTTGGAAAGATGATAAATGTGTGTTTGTATTTCTGTGGTATGTTACACAAGTAATTTTGAGTCGATTGAATGTAATCTATGGTTGATTGTGAGCTTCTGGCACTCAATAGGGGTTTTAGATACCCAATTTGTATTTAAAGTGTGAAATTAATAAATTATGCAAGTTTATAAATGGGTATCTAATTTTCAATTGAGATGAAATTTTAAAATGAGACTAGTGCCATTAATTAGAGCTTAAAAAGAGCTTTTTATAAATACCTAGATTATATTGATCGGACATTAAATAAAGAATTGGGACATGCCAGAAGTTTGGCCTCGATGCTATCATATGACAGCAAGCTATGCTATCAGTATTTGTGCAATACATCACAATGCATTACACAAAGAGGCGAAGCTATGGCTTGTGTACCTTGACTCGCGACACACCCTCTAATTTTACTATCTGGTTTATTTTTCAACTATATTTCAATTTAACTACATTATAGTATCTTATGCTTTAAACTCTGATTTATATTGATTATACTTGGTTTATGGTATTTTAACTTTTAAAAACTTGGGATCCCATTTTATTTGTTTTGATTTAATGGTTTGAAAATAGTAGGACACTTGGTACTATCTGAGTGGTCCTTTTTTCTTTCATGGTGAAATTATTATTTTTTAACTGTAGTTAACTGATTTAAAATATACTAAGATGATTCGTTTGGGTTAATACCATGAATACCTTAGGGTTGTTAGCTAAGTGCCGGAGATAATAAGGATAATCTTACAAATTTTATTTAATATGAGACTTTTTATATCATCCTAAGTTTGCCCAAAATAAGATAAATTAACACTCATACATCTTTTTTTCATTCAATTTGTCCTTTGAATTTGATTGCGGTCATTCGAATCTGCAAAAGCTTCGCTTCCAATTTTTTAGACTAAAAGTGTCTCCTTTTCCCTCACCGCTTATTTCCCTCATCATCGATAAATCAAAACTTTTCAACAATCCATATTCATATTTAATATATAATAAAATTATTATTATTATTCTACATAAAATATATAAAAAATATTGTAGTTTTAAATGTCTATATGAAATTTTAATAGGTAAACTAGAATCGTACGGGGAAAATTTCATCACGCATGAAGGGAGCTATTTTAATTAAAAATAATAATAATATAGTGTTTATTAAAAGAAAAACTAATTGAATTTGTTATCCAAAGTATTCAGCACAATCAAAATACTATAACAAACTAAATAAACTAACAATTATTCAATGGATCCATTCATGATAAAAAGAGGAGTAGAAAGTACATAAATTTTAACCCAATAATATAACAAAAAAAGAATTTAGTCCGAGGATGAAAAAAATAATCTATAACTAATACAAGAAAAATAAATTGCAAATCAAATAGAACTTTGTATACAGTGACGATCTAGAAAAATCAGTTTGTGAGGGCAAAATTTATAGGGACAATTATATTAAAGTGTAATTTAATTCAGTTGTCAATAGATCTTGCAGTAATTAATTCTCTTGTGTGGAACCTAACTGTAATTCTTCCAAATTTATACTCTTTCTATTCAACAATGTAAGACATTTTTTAAAAAATTTAATCTTAAAAAATGTAAGGCATTTTAAGTCTTTCGAGGTGTAATCATTACTTTTTTTTCAAATGTGCCCCCTATTGATAATGACTTTATATTTATTATAAGATATTTAATAGGAATAAATATAAAAAGATAATGTTAGTTTAAAAGTAAGTAACTACTTTATTGAGAAGTGAAATTTAGTTAAAAATACCTTACATTTTTGAACGGAGGGAATATATTAGATAAATATTAATATCATTAATAAATTAATTATACTTTTTTATTAAATTGTATTAAATATAAAATTTTATTACAATTAAATGCTATTAAAGAACTATACATAAAATATAAAATTATAACAACATAAAAATTACATATCTATTAGAATTATGCTTTTTATTTTAATTAATAAAACTTAACTCTTCTGAGTTTTGACCAATGAAAGTGAATTCAATTGATAAGGACTTAGTTCATAATCCCCTAACATTTGTCTCATCTAAACTTTTTTGTGCTAATAAAACTTAACTCTTTTGTATGGTATATATCATTGGTGATAAAATTTTCAATTTAAACAATAAAAAATTATTTTCTAAAATATTGCTCCCTTCTTTTTAAAACTCTTTCTATTTAAGGTTCAATCTTCAAATGCATAAATAAGATCTTGGTCAAATAAACTTTTTAGGAAATTAATGAAATTTTTTATGTAACCACATAAATTTTCTTTTCTTTTTTTTTGGGGAGTAGGGGTAGTTGAAAATTTTGAATAGAGCCCAATGAAATATTTAAGATCACTATGTGTATGTTTTACTAAGCATGTTGGGGTAATTGCCTCCTCTATTTTACAAATAGGCCCACCCCTGCTTGTATAAATAATTACATATCAATATAAAATTCACACCAATGACGTCGACACATGAAAAGTAAATTCACAAACTAAATCCTAGCCTCAGATGACTTGGCTAAAGGAATGTTCACTTTTTATGTTCCTTGCGATCACATTGATAGCTTGGACTCAGAGATGGTATAATACAACGTTAATGTGCCTAAATGCGTTCTCCCAACAAAGTCTTAATCTCATAATAATTGCTTTAATTTCTGAGATCACTGGTAGAAGTGGCTCAATTTTATGATAGAAACTTACAACCCAGTCATTTTGTTTCCCACTATCCCTCCACATATACAAAATTCTCATCCATTCACTTGGCCATCGATCTCTCATAAAGAGATTCAAATGGTAGCATCTTGCTCCACATGAAAACTTTTCTTCCCGCAGCTCTTGAGTTCAACGTGTCCTTTGTTCAATAGTCCTAGTAATCTCTGAAGAACTCTTCTCCCATATTAGTGCAACTCAAGTTTTCCAAATGAATTAATAATCATATCTCTAAACTAAATGAGCATCCCCTCTCCATATACTTCCTAAATCATTAGATGTTCAAGGTATAAAATTTCAAAGCAGTGGAATCTTTAGCAAATGTGCGCCCAAAATTGATGAATTGGTACTGCAACAACACAACTAAAGTGAAAAGAGAACCTGTGATGACACAAATAAAAACCGTAGTCACACATTTGCAATAAATAAACATATATTTGTTCAAAATATTTTGATTCAACCAGTCCAATCACAATTTTTTTCCCTGCTTGGGCCAATATGAAATAGAAAATGACTCCTCTTTGGTTGAATAATGAGTTAAGTCAGCACACAATATTACGGGGCAGAAAATCAGAAACAAAGTTAAACGAAGTGTACATGGCAGCACAGAGCAAAGAATTTTGTGAGAAATATGTACAAACTTATTATCACGGGAAGCCTCAATGGTCAAGACTCTATAAATAGTGTATCTTTCAGTGGTTTATACACATCCATACATTGATGATATTAAAATTCTCAGACAAGACAGCCTAGGAACAAAGCAAATAGCAGGTGCTGAGAGGTAATAACTTGCAAAGGCATAAAACAACTATGCAGGTGCTACTTAGTATTTACAGGTCGCAAGGAAATTGATATGGTGCAAATGCCATACAATTCTATGAAATTTGAGGCATTATGAATAGAGTATATCTTATTTTATTTGCAATTCTAGATTAATCTTGAAGAGTTATGGTTGTCCAACTTCGTTTGCCTTAGTGATGAAAATGCAATCTTCTGCCATTAACTAATTGACTTTCATGTTTGCCCACCACATTCACATCCTAAAATCTGAAAAATGTTAACCTGTAAAAAGTGAACTAAATTTCAAAAATAAAATAGCATGGTAATATGAAGTACAGTAATAAAAGCATTGTAAATAATAAATAAAAATAATCAAATCAATTTACAAATGTATTTCCAAGACAGTAGAATAATATACATACAGGCATGTATATATACTTTTCAAGGAGCATATATATAAATCCTACTAATCAAGGATTAGAATTACCTAATGTTCAAATAGTCCCAAGAAGAGATCCATGCCTATTACAAAAGATACCACGTTTTTTGGTCTCCGTTTGTCTCCCTTGTATACATTTTTGTGCAGATGCTATGAGCTTGAGCTCCTCTTGTCTCTACTTCTGCATGATCCATGCTAAAGTTTACAGAGGCAAGCCTTGCATTGATATTTAGGTCGCTGTCAATCAATAAATATATCAAAATTCACAAAATAATCTAAGCACTATAAGTGTTATTTCATATTTAAACATGAATAGAATCTTGTTAGAATCTTTAGCATAGTAAGTACTAATAGCAGAAAAAACCATGACATGCTTGAAGTAAAATAAAATGATCCACTATCATTTTTCATACCCCCTAATACTCCTCCAGCAAAGACCCAACCAAAAAAAAAAAAAACCATCAGCTCCAGACTAATTGTAGCAACTTTCAACACATAACCAGCGAAATTTTTAAAAAAACCTAGGGATATTACTCAGTAATGAACTAACTCTTTATTACCAATGTCCTTTTGAGCGCGATGATGGGTTGATTTCAAGATTGGAGAAATAAGCTTAAACCATGCAACATGTGAGATCAAGAGCACTGAAATCATTAGCTATGATATATTTGCCAAAATTTCTGAGCACAAAAATTAGATTACAAGAGATAACGACAAGATTAGTTCAATTGTGCAGCAATCTTACCATCTTGGAGACGCTGCGGGAGAGAGATGTAGTAGCTTAGGACCTGATTCTGAGGGTGTCATAGCTGACATATGCCCGCAGTTAAGATTTAACCCTTCTGTCAATCCCATTCCATCCATTAACAACACCAACCAACGAAAGTAAGATCATGAGAGAGGAAAGTGAATCACACCAAGCAAAGCCTCGTAGAAATTGAGCCAATTTTTCGAACCCAAATCTTCGATTAACCCCCTAGATTTTCAAAGAACTTAAAAATCAGTGCTAATTTTGGTGATAGAATTAACAACAATAGCAAGATTGAAAGCATCAACTGAATCAACTGTCAAAACAATGTTTTAACTTTCTAATCCATCAGGTTATTCATATCAATCTAACAAAAAAAATCCATAAGCAGGCCAAAATGGTGCTTTTGAATTAAAAACAAAAAAGAAAGGGATGATAATAGACAAATCCTAAATAAATATATTGAGAACGTTCATGCTGAGTCTTATATTGAGAGTGTTTTCTCACATTGAGTGACTTCCTTCTTTGGCATCCTCAGAGCTGCTTCAAGACTTTATGGCCTTCAAGGTCCCTATTTTCCTGCTTCGTTTTTTTCCTCCCTTGCAGCGTAACCAGTGCAAGGATGCTTCTTGTGGACTCCATAGATTGCTTCTTCATTTTCTCAATTGGATTGACTTGGAGAATCGAGGTCACAAAGTTCAAGGTACTTCATCTTCGTTCTCCGTCTCATTGGAATCGATTTCAGTGACCCTAAAGACAGACAGAAACTGAATAATTAAAACAAAATTAAAAATAGGGTAGAGGCAGAGGAGTTTGCAATAGAAAGGGATCGATTAAATACATTTCCTCTTCCCTTTTACAGCGCGGCACTGAATCAAGAAGCTCATCTGGATTGAGAACTTTAGCAAAGACCCACCCTAAGGATCACCTTCCTTAAGGCAATTCCATCTTCAAACTAAACAATAATCAAACTCAGTGCACAATAATTTTTTAAAAAATATTATGGTGTCTGAGACTGAAGTAAAATGTTACCCACTTTCATGGAAGTGTCGACCTGTGCAACATTTCTGGCCATGGCGGTGAGGAGACCAATGCCGTACTTGGTGACGGTGTTGGTATTGGTGGTGGGAGCGTTAATGGCAACCGAACTTTGTAGCAGCTTGCAGATCGACACTGTTGATCCCCATACCAGCTCTTCCCACAACCTTAAACCTTCCTTTCCCCGCTTTGAACACTTGCCTCGTAGGCTTTGTCCCGCTTCATGGAATCAAAGTGTCGCATGATGGGCTCTTCAAGCACAGTTCTTCAAACAATAGATCGTTGGCATATTCCACTTATCTTGGTGGAATAACTATAAACAGACGGGACAGAAAACTCTGGGTTTGTGAAATTTCAAGAATTAAGTAAGAGTGATTTGAAAATACATAGAGTTAAAATTTCCCCCACGATCGTGCGAACCGCCAACACCCGGGAAGAAAAATTTTGAAAAAAAAAAAAAGAAACAGAAAAACAATTTCAAAGCCCGCCAACTTACCCTGAGATGAGCCACAGACTTACCGAATGAGATTGACCGTTAGAGCCATCGCCTGGAAACAGTGTCCACTCTGAACACGATTGCGATCGCCGGGGAACGAACAAACCGGCTGAGAAGGGATAAAAGGAATAGAAAACGGGCAAGACATTAACGGGGCAGAATAGGATAGTCGAAAAACATGGTGAGGAGTTATAAAATGTTCTGCAAATGAAGGAGTGAAATGGGTGAAGGACGGAAATCTGGAACTTCAAACTGGAAGGCGGGAACCCAACTCAGTGCCCAAGAAAGCACAGCCAGACACCTGCTTCATGTTTTTTCTCGTCTTCCGATTGAAGCCAGATTCCAGCCACAGGGGCACTTTTGTCCGATAAATTTTCACATGCTGTATTTGTATTTGTAGAAAGTGGCAATTAATTGAGGGTAATTTTGTCAGTCCACTAATCAAGTACTGTAGATGGTTTTCTAACGTAGAGATACACATGGGCAGGGTTAGGCTAGGTAGGAGTTTGCCCGATACCCAGCCTAAAGAATGAATGGGCTACAAAATGTAGCTCGAAGCCCAGCCCTACCCGTAAAATGCCCTATTAGTTTAGGCTAGGTAGGGCTGGTTGGGCAGCTTTAAGTTGCCTAATCCATCAAATAATCGTTCTACCCATTAAGTCACAATTTTTCTTATCATTTTTAAATAAAACTTTCACAAATCAACAATAGTTTTATGTATCAACTCAAAATAGCATCCATAAAATCAAAACCCATAAATTCACAATAACAGTAACGGCTATAATATCTAATTATTCATAATTCAATACCCTACTTGAAATATAAAACTATCACAAGTCTTGACATAATATCAAATTATTCATAATTCAATTCAAAATAACAGCTATGATCATTGAAAGCAACAAATTTCACAAAAGCTTGGAGCATCATATGAGAAACAGCAATTTGAAAGAGTAGACTCCAATCCACAAAAAACTTCTTCCTAACTCTCAACCTACGTGACTGGAAGAGGAAAAATATGTCATAACTAAACAGAAAAATTGTTATTTAAAAATTTTTGTAGAGTTAATTGAAAATCTTCTAAAGTTCACAAATCTCAGAGTAATCAATAAAAGATAATATATTCTAAAAAATGATCATGATCTATCATTGAGATTTTAATAATCTAGGGTATGTAATTATTATGAACATTCTTATAGGTTCTTAATTGTTATTTTTAAATTACTATATCAATCATGCAGATTAAAATCCTTATTCAAGGCAAATGCATAGAGAATCTTGAATGGAGTGAAAGGAAACTCATATGCAAGTCAACATTTGCTTTGGAATGCTCAAATATGCCCTTCTCTAGATAAAAGCGATCAAAAGAAGTGGAATCTGCAGTAGTCGAAGCATAACTCTGGTAAATAGCAAAGCAAAATAAAAGGGGCTAGCAAGAGGCATTCATGCATAAGGGACCTATCACCAGTGTCCACTTCATCCAACTTAACCAAATTTACACACTTATTATTTAATTTTTCAAAATGTTAATAAAAGGTCAAGATATACTTATAAAAAACCACTTCAATCAACACTAGCAACCGCATTCTCCCCTCCAAGTGTTGCATCTAAAGACAAAAAAAATTACATTAATATAAAAACTAAAGTAAAAGGTGTATATGTGCATGTGCAAACTTTAGAAAAAAAAAATATGTTACTTGCAAGCTGAATAATATTATTTTCTGTCTCATTAAAGTGAGCAAACTCAGGGAGCTTATCAACTAACTCAGAGAGAGATTGCCCTCTCTGCAACTAATTTGCCCACAAATTAGTGCTTCTGTCATTTTAGGAGATAGAGAGCTCCTATATTGGTCAACTACACATCCACAAGTACTAAATGCAGACTCAGAAGCCACTGTAGAAATTGGCATAGCCAATACATCTCGTGCCATATGGGAGAGAATTTTATATTTTTCAAAATTTGCTTTTCACTATGACAGTATGTCAAACTCAGAATCAGATGATGAGATTTTAGCTTTAGAATCAGTTACAAGATATCTATCGAACTCACTTTGTGGATCCATTGAAGTTTTTTACTTCAAAGACTCTAACCACATTGCCCTTGGATCCTTAATGTCGTCGTCGTCGTCGTCGTCATCATCAAGAGAGGGCAATGAACTTGTAGATGCATTATTTATATGGGTAGGCCGTAACATCCTATTTTTTTTATAACACCTTCAAAAATACAAACCGATTTTTCGCAAATTATTAAAACCATTATCGTGGTAGAAAATTTTCTTACCATGATACATCCAAGACATAACACAAGTCTTAAAATATTCAAAAAGGCAATTAAAACCATGAGGGACAGACATAATCCTCATGGCATGATATTCAAATCAGATCATAAATCAAGAGGGACAGACATAATCCTCTTGGTCATATAAATACTTTTAATAAAAAGGATTAGAGTTTACATGCTTCACAAAGAAGATATGTCCTAAGTTGGCACAAGATACATTGTATAATCCAAAATAAGAAGCAACATAAAAGATGGTGTCTCATACACCATAGTTACACCTCTGGTGCTTTCTCGGCCGAACTTGCTCCTGTAAAAATATTAACCACGGGGAATGAGACTTAAAAGTTCAGTAACCAACAATTAATATGTAATGATACATGCGGTTGTAAATAATCATGCGATTGCTAAGTGGTCATACAAAATATTTAACCAAACAATATTTTCAAACAAACCGAACAAGTATTTAATTTACATGACCGCACCTTATATCCTCCCTTCGCCATGCTCGGACGCCAAATCACCTAGCCAAAGGTGAGTTGGACTAAGCGACACGCCACTCATTGGGTCTAATGAGGGTCTATCACGTGGTAATAATTAACAGAACAGAAATTTTCATTAACACTATACATTAAAATATCCTGATAAGTCATGCATCATTTAAATATCCAAATAGAAATATATCCGAACAATAATATCTCATCATGATAAACAAAAATAAATTTTTTTAACCCACTTAGCAATAATTTCAAACAAGTATATACAGTATTTATTTTTAATAATTCATAATTTTTTCAAACAATAAAAACAACACATAACAATTCACAAATACACCCATTACAACACATTAATAATGGTTACCTTGTGTTTTGAATAACAAGTTCCCCTTCAAAACTCCTCTTTCACCGCTATCTTTGTCAATAAAATCTATATAATTATTTCACAATACTATATATTAATTTTACATTAAAATAAATAACTCTAATTTAAAGAGTTAGAAAGTCTTAGATTTATAATTCATATTAACACTAATTTAAGATTTATGCCTCATTTAACTTTTCAAATTCTTTTCTAAAATTCTCGTATCCTAATAAACTATTTTTTTTCCTCAAATCACTTCTAGTATCACAATTTCATCCTTCTATATTCTAAAAATTCATCCAAAAATAAATTAAAAATTTTAAAATTTATCCTGAAGCCTCAAATCACCTTTCTATAACCTCAAAATACCTATTCATACTTAAATAAATATTTAATAATCAGAGGTTCATCCCTACATCTCAGATTTTACATAAATTCAACCATATAGATCTAGATTTTAACTCAAAAATTTTTAAACATGAGTTTCAACCTCAAGAAAATATTCTATAATATTTATTATATCTCTAAGAGTTTTAACCTATATTAATCCATCATATCATCAGATTAACTGTCCTATAGAAAAATCCTAATCAGAATATTTACTTTATCCTACAAAACAATCATATCACTAGAAAGCTAATATTATTTAGAAAATAACTATAAAATTAATTTTATAATTAAATAAATTTTTAAATGCTAATCTAAACAGGAAAGTTAGAACATACTTGAAGAAAAAGAAAATAATCCCCCTTACAAGAAGACGCCGAGCAACGTGAGAGGAAGAGAGAAAAATAATATAAAAATAGGATTTTAGGTCCCACAATTATATTAAAAAAACTATAAGTCTGAATTTAATTATTCAAACCATTGAGCCATTACTTGCAATTTTCTCTAAATTGCATCTTAGGCTCTTAGTTGCAATTTTTACAAATTACATGAACTTTCTTTTTGCCTTCCTGTGCACGCTCTCACTTTCTTTTATACATGAAAAATCTTTTCCTTGTCCCACATCTAACCGATGTGGGACTTCTACACCCCTCTTTCATTTTTTTTACTTTCTTTTCTTTTTGTTTTTTTTTAACTTACACACACATAAATTTTTTTTAAATTTTAATATTATATCTTAATAAAATATTTCTTATATAATTTTAAACTTAAATTTTTAATTCATAATTAAATTTCTAACCATATTATTATTTCTGAATAATCTCAAATAATATAAATTTTTATTTTTATTATTATTTATTTTTTTAAATAAAAACTTAAATTTCACAACAATTTTTTTTATATAAAAAAAATTAGGATGTTACATTTTAATTCAATTATTACTCAACGTCCTAACTTCTAAATTTTCACTCATTCTAACTCAATTTTTATAGCTTTAATTATTTAAAATATTATTTTTTATATTTTAGAAAATGAAATTAGAAAGATTAAGTCTTTACAATCTTTATCAAATTTAAAGTTTTAGTAATTTAAAATTAGTTCTTAAATGTCAAAATAATTTTAATTTTTAGAATTTTATTTTCAAAATATTAGAACCAGTATTTTAAATATTCAAAACTATAGAGATTGAATTGTATTGAATCAAAATTTAAAAATTGAGTTACAATCAAATTAAAATTATAAAAATTAAGTTGTAAATTTATCGTGAGTCAAAATTTAAGAATTAAATTATAATTTAGTTAAAATTATAGAGATTAAATGATTAATTTTTCTTAATTTAATGTGATTTTAATTTAATGTTACTTAATTATTGTATAAATAAAAAAGAAATCCAACGTCAATGGGGTAAAATTGAACTTTTCTAAGTCAACTATCAGACAGCATATGATTAACGCGGGAGCACATTCGGTGCTCATCACCCCTAAACGAACTTGAACAATCTGGACGGTCCAGATTTAAATATTTTTTTAAATAAAAATTTATAAAATTTTAAATAAATATATTTATTATTAACATGTATCATTTATACTTAATTAGATGAGTCTAATTTTTATTAATTTTTTTATAATTTTTTATAAATTGATTATATAGATTTAGTCTGTATTGTTCATATTTAAAATTTTTAACTTCTTATACTTATTAGATTCAAAACAGTTCAGAATAAATCTATATCGTGAATTTATAAAAACTATAAAAAATTAAAATTAAATTTAAACTGGTTTGATTAACTATGAATGATACATGTTAATAATAAATATATTTATTTAAAATTTTATAAATTTTTATTTTAAAAAATAAAAAAAGTATTTAAATCTGGATTATCTGGACGGTCCAGATGAGCATCGAATGTGCTCCCGATTAACGCAATTATCACGAGGGCGCTGCAAACAAGAGCCAGTCCATTCTGCTTGCCCATGCACGAGATTTCTGTAAAGCAACTTCTCTTGTTCTCTGCTGCTATTGCTTCTCCTTGCCGACGGAATACTACTTGCTCGATCGCGTCCGTTAACTTCTGACAGGTTTGGTACTTTATAGATGTGATGTGCTGTAATTTTAGAGATCTAACTCCGATTCCAAATTGGATCTGAAAATGGGATTCTCGCTTCTACTCGTACGTAATCACTGCTCCCTTCTCCATTTCCATTTTTCATTGAAACGGTTTCACCTCTTGGTATTGCTTCTTGTCAAATCGGATATTTGTTTCCTTCTTTAGCATATTTGTTTTTAACCTCCGGCGATCGACGGGTTGTTTTTTGGCAGAAACTTTAGAATCAAAATGTCTTCCGATTCTGCTGTTCCTTTGGCCGGGAGTCCCATCATAGTGAGTTCTCTCTCTGACTCTTCCTCCCCCTCCCCACTCTTTCTTTATCATGGTCATTTTCGGCTTCTTATTGGTAAAACACGCTTTCATTATTGGCGTGTAGTTAGACTGAGACTCACGGAAACGGAGGACCTTTTTCCAGGTGGGATTTGGCGGCGCCGCCTTGGATTTCTTGGCAGTGGTGGCGGCTTTTCCTAAGCCCGACGACAAGATCAGGAGCACTAACCTGAAGGTTTGCTCCCGTTTTCCCTTTTTAAGTTTTTATTAATCAAACCGCTTAGAAATAATTGTACATTTTTTGGGGCAACAAAATAATTGGAGTTTGGCTATTGGGCACATGAGACTTGTTCTATTGAAATTATACTATATTTTTTATTGTTAAATTATGCATTCTATTTTTAATTTTATATATTTATTATAATATCTTTTATTGACCCGCAAGCTACCTTACATAATTTTCTTTGTTCCAAGAATTAGAAAAGATCAGTTTGATTTACTGATGATCAATTTTTACTAATTAGAATTCTTAAATTTTTAGATACTTAGACTTATTTATCAATAAGTTGGTTCACTCAGTTTTGTTTGCCCTTCTCTTAATCCTTTAAGTAAATTATTTTCTCTCAATTTTTGTAACCTTTATTGTATAATTTCAAAAGTATTCTCCAACAAATTTAAAAAAAGAAGTGCGGTATTTTAATTTGAAAATTCTTCCAACACATTAAATCTCTCTTTTTTAAAATGTAGGGGCAAAATTAAAAAATAATTTTATTATTTTAACTAAGCCACCTAAATTCTAGTGAGTTGGTTAGAAGTAATTTATAAAAAAGAAGAGGAGGAATAAATATTCGTAATGTCTGTCTGTTACTCTTCCTGGCCAGCCATGATGATCGTTTGGGAATGTGATCGACGGTGAAATTCTCTGGTTTGATAGGTTCAAGGCGGCGGAAACGCGGGAAACGCTTTAACTTGTGCTGCACGTTTGGGCTTAAAGCCAAGAATAATTTCTAAGGTTTTTTAGGCTATGAATTTTTTAGGTTTATTTCTGGTTTTTAAACATGCCAGTTCTGTATTTTCTAAGGTATCGATAGATGCTGTATCCAACCTGCTGGCTGATTGCGCTTGCTTCTGATGCAATTTAAAATCATTAGGTTGCAAATGACATTCAGGGTAGGGCTGTTTTAGAAGAGCTAGAAGCTGATGGAGTGGATACATTTTTTTTCGTGGTATGTCTAAATTAGAGCCAGATTTTAATTTTTCATTCTTCACCCTGTAGTTGCTGCTTTACAACTTCTATTTTGTTAAGCTGCAACTCAACTTAATTTCATTGTTACATGTTACCGGTTTTATTTATAAATCATTTTTATTTCAAATACAGTTAAATTATTAATATTATCTAAACAAGAAAGAAAATTTTCAATTCACCCTTATTAAATATATGATGTTTAGAAACGCGTTTTTTTCTCATATAACTTTTTATTTTCCGTTTATTGAAAATTGTAAAAGGATAAAAATAGAAGAAAATAATTAATAATTCACTTTTTTGTTTAAAGTTAATTTAAAAAAAAAACTATAGATTCTTTCTCAAAAGTAAGTGAATTATATACCGGATAGTCCTTTGTTGATTTTTTTCAAGTCTTCTGTTGATTTTGTTTTCAGGTATCCGAGGAGGGTTGTTCACCATTTTCCTATGTCATCATTGACAGCCAGGCGTACGATACTTTTAAAATGATTTATGCGCGCACTCTGTTGATTTTGTCGTAATTGCTCGCTTGATGGATTTTGGATTTGAAAATTCGAAAATGGGGGTTATTGAAGTTACTTTAGATGTGAGACAGATTCCAAAAAATAGTCGCAAGGTTCTGCGTTAAAGTCCTAACAAATAAGCACATGATTTTTGTAGGAAAGTTGATAAAAATCTGTAAAAATGAATAACATAGAACGATAGTCATTAATGTGATACGTTTTCCATGTACGATTTCCTCCCGTTTAAATTGTCACGTCTAACTTAGATGACTGTAAGAACTGCTTGAAACATGAGATGCAGCTGTTGGTAACGTATAAAGCAAGTCAATTGATCATGCTTTGAACCTTCAGGAAAACACGTACATGCATATTCACAGCAGGATATCCTCCCATGATGCCGGAAGATCTTTCCAGAGACAGTTTGTTATCTGCACTGGATGGAGCAAGATTGGTTTATTTTGATGGAAGGATGCATGAAACTGCTCTGCTCATTGCTCGAGAGGTAATTGTTTATGTAGTTTGCTCATGATGTTGATGGAAAGTCATTCCATCGCAATTGAACTTCAAGATTTAATGTTTTATAAGGTCGTGTCTTGCAAAATGTCCCTTAAAGAAGAATACCAACTTACCATTCCAACGATTGAATGAAAGCCTCATTTTAAGAAGAAAAGTCTGAAGCTGGATGATCTTCGAAGTTATACTATATTATGGAGCATGGATGAGTTTTGTTACTCTTACTTTCCTAGTCATGGACATGGTTTATCCACTTTTCATTGTGACAAGACATGGTAGTGGTGTTATTGTGATTTAAATCAGAGATATATATTATTATCACTGCATTTATTAACGTGCAATTTTAATGTTCTTGCATTTCATGATTGAAGATGAGAAAACCATCTGATTAGATGTAATATACATATATATATATATATATATGCACACACACGGCTGCAGGCATTTTGCAAGAATATATCTATCTTAGTTGATGCCGAAAGACCAAGGGAGGGGCTAGATGAGCTCCTCACTATGACGGATTATCTTGTCTGCGCGGAGAGATTCCCACAGGCAAGTAACTCATACTCGCCTAAAGAACAATGTCATGAGAAACTTGGGATCTGTGAATCCTCCATTGGCATGTAGATATTACTTCTATTTTCCAACTTTTCATCAGTGGATCAATGGATGTGTTCCTCAAATTCAAAACACTAGTTTAGCCTTGTAGCCGAAGAATGGAATCTAAACTCTTTGCAGCCTTGCCCTTTAACTATGTTTGATCGTATAGGGGGTGTACACTTCTGTTTTCTCAACTTCCATTTGGTCTGTTATCAATTATTAAAGTATTTTATTTGTTTATATTTGTATTTCTATGGTCAAGTGTGGTCAAACTGCCTTCTTTGGTGATAATTGTCACCGTGCTTTTTAAACCTTCATAATGCTACATGAGATCTGTTGTTTTTGGGATTTGACAGGCCTGGACGGAGGCGGCTTCCATTCCAAGGGCAATGGTTTCAATTCTTTTGAAGCTTCCAAAACTCAAATTTGTGATTGCAACTTTGGGGGAAAATGGCTCCATGATGCTTGAGCAATGCATGGATGGTGAATATACATATTGCAGACATCCTGCTTTCCTGTATTTGATTATCTTTTAGAAGGTAAGTTACAGTGTACTTTCTGGCAGACGGTCCGCAGACAGAAGAAATGGATGTAGACAGATCTTTCGAATCCTTAGTGAGGCAAAAGGATGACAGCATAGCCAAGCCAACCTGCATAGCAACGGTAATAACTATTGAAACTTGAAGATATCTTCTTTCATGCTGTAATAATGCTGAAGTGAACCCTGATGTGTGTGAAATATCTATTGAAAATTAAAGGTAGGATCATCAACTATTGTAAGGTCCACTTAATTTCACTTCTTCCCCCTTAATCATGGCAGCATGTGACAAAATTTAGAGCAGAAGGAATAGGAAGTGTTTGTGGGAGGTTGTATGTGGGGACAGCTGAGAAAATTCCTCCGTCTGAGCTCATTGATACAAACGGTGCTGGGGATGCATTCGTTGGAGCTGTTCTGTATGGTATGTCATTATCATGATGCCTTTTTACGGGCAAGCTTAAATTTGATTATTTTTATATCACTGGAATTTAACTCGACATCAACTGTATATGCAAACAACTCTTGAGGCAGATTGATCCATCCGGAAGAGCTTGACTTCTACAATCCCATTTCTGATCTTTTCATCACCAAGAAACTTGCGGGCTACCTTTTTCTATGTTTGCTTTGATCAATTCGTTGATTAACCGCCTTGTTTATTTCCTTCATTTGATGATACATGCTTTCAATTCATGAGCCTTTGCTTGACTTTCAGCAATCTGCAACAACTTATCACCGGAGAAAATGTTGCCATTTGCTTCTTGTGTGGTAAGCAGAACTGTAATCCAAATAACTATGAACATAGAGCCAAAAAAGTCTGACAAGTTTCTTGAGAGAAGAATGAACATGCAATTTACCGGGTAACCGCAACTTGCTCTTCTATTTTTGGGCCAAGTGCAGGCAGCTGCAAAATGTAAAGCTTTGGGAGCTCGAAGTGGTCTTCCCCGTCGTGAAGACCCGTGCCTGGCTTCCTTTTACAATAGAGATCCTAATCAGTGATGACATCGTAACTGTAAGCGAGCAACAAGGTTTCAGCATAAAACCAGAGTTAGGTGTAATAATGTCTCTCATTCAGCGTGCGAAAAAACAAATTTCTCCGGGCATGAGATATAGTGGTGGCCCTTAAATTGCATTGTCCATTTGAAAACTAGATGCAATTAAAGTTGTGCCTGCCAATATTGTTGAAAAGTGCCAACTTGAAGAATCTTTTGGTATGTTAGCACCATTGATATACTTTTTTATTATTGAACTCCTCTATTGTTTCTTTAATAAAAGAATATTGCCATTTGATATTAAGGCATGGTAGATATCAAGAAGTATGCATAAATAGATTAAATGGGCCATAATACTGGACTTTGTTAGTAGATGAGACTAATTGTTGATATTAAAGCATGTCAGAAGTTTTCACCATGCTTCAAGTTTATTTTGACACTAATGTTACCTTAAACCTTCAAAATCAATCATTCAATCAACTTATATTTAAAGTATAGGGTAAACATAATTTTTAATCTTTGTACTTTACTCGTATTTTACTTTTGATCCCTTTACTTTTTTTCGATATTTTAAGTTTCTGTATTTTTGTTTTTTATTATTTTTGGTTCCTTTATGAGCAAAGTAGAGGAACCTTGAATGGATTCAAAACAATAAATATTGAAATTTATATCTAACCGAATTCAAATTATCCAAGTTTATACCTAAAGGTTATAAGGTGATTTTAGAGCATCAACTAAGAGTTTGAAGGATAGATTGAATATTGAAATTTCATCATAGAGCTTCTTGAAGGGATTTTTCTAGATTCTCTTCTTTTATCCATGCTTTTGATTCTTTGTGTTGTTTCTAAACATTTATGCATGTTTTGAGCTAGTTTTCTTTTATCATTAGGGATTTTATAAACCTTTGATGCTTTATAAGTATATTTCTTTCTAGAGATTGATTTTGATGGATATTTTAATGTTTAATATGATTTATTTTATTCTCATACTATTAGATGGCTAACTTTAGTATGTGCATGGATCTTGGAATTCACCTTTGATAAAAAGGAATCTCAGTTAGACCATTTATTAAACAACTTAGAATTATAATTAATCTAATTTGTATTTGAGATAAATACATACTCAAAAACCCTAGGTAATTCTTTAAGGTTTGTGTATAATTGGATTAGTGTTTGCTTGAGATATCATAATATGGTTAGGTCATTGGTTTTGTAATCAATAAATACATAATCTAAATTAGAAGCTTGACTTTAAAGTTATATTAAAACACAATAACTAGAAAAAATTGAATTGCAAGGCATAAAAGGAAATTAGAATTTCTAGGTTCTCTTTAATTGTTAATCCTACCTTTGATATATTCTTTGACTTTATTTTTTTCATATTTTTTAATTTAATAGAAACTTCATTATTTGATTGGATAACTTAATTAAAGTGAAAATAACTTTTGTTTGTGTCTAATTCCTTTCACTTGAATTCCTTGTGAGATAACTTTAATTTGCTATATTATGTTAGCTCCATAAACTTGCTGTGTGTTTAAAATTTGTACACATCATTAATTTATATCAATTTTAAGAAAGAAAAAAATTTTAAATTTTCAAATGTCATGTGATATCCACAATAAAACATAGGTATGAGGCTCATGATAACAAGTGACTGGGGATATGAGACCGTAATAAGAATGATAAGCATTGAATTTGCAATAAAATAGCAAATATAATTTAGTCGAAGTGTTGAAAATTAGGTATGTAACGGGTGAAAGTTTTATAAGAATTAATTTTTAAATTTAAGTGATACCATATCATTAAATATAAATTACCTTTTACATTTCCAATATACATGAAGTTCCGGAGTAAAATCTTGCGGTAACATTTGTAGAAATGAAACAAGTTGTTCTGTATATTATTAACATGGACGAAGCATGTTATTTATGTTATTAATTGGTATAGAATTATAATTTTCTAAAAAAATTATATCCTTGAAGGCCACATGGGTAGAGCCGGGAATTTAAGTCGAGCTATGCGGGTTGGTTTGAATAACCAGTCATAAGGATCAGGTTAGGTTAAAAAAATTAATCAAAATAAAAACAAGTTTTTTTTTTTTTGGCCTGGACGATATAATTTGTAATCATATGAGTTAATTCTGATGGGTTAGGATTGGGCCATTTAACCTATAATGAAAAAAGAAAAAGTTTGTGGATATAAACTATGTAAGGCATGACTTACTAAATCAATTCATATATTTTATACAAACATTATGAATTAATATTTTTTGTATCTAGAATGAGTCATGAAATAATATCAAATTATAACTCATCATTTAGGTGTATTTTTTTAAAATTTATGAAAAACATAAATTGAAAAAAATGCGCTAGCGAGTTAGCCCAATTAACTTGTCAACTTTTAAGAGTTGGTTGAATTGAATTGAGATTTTTTTAATTCATATAAAAATAAATTAAACCCAATCTAACTCACATTTTCTTCAATTCATATGGTCGGAGTGGCTCAAATCTTCAACCACATGGAAATTGCAATTAAGAAATGGAAACAAAATTGATGAGCGTGGATTGGAATTTGCACTGAAATCATAAATCTAATTAAAACAAAATGTAAAAAGGCATGTAAGAAATTCAATAATTTTTTTGGAATTTGATTTATATGCAATGAAAAATTCTAAATAAATGAATTTGTTGCTTATATTTTTATATGTATTGGATAATAAATTATAAAATAAAATATAAGCAAGATCCATCATCGAATGACAAATTCATGAGATGTCATGTTTGCAGTCAGCGAGGGGTAGAAGGAGAAAACAGCTGAAAATATAATAAATAAAATGTAAAACTAAATAACAAATTGCAAAATAAAATATTTTATTATTTTAATTTTAATTTTAATTTATAAGGGGTAAATAACACGTCTCAAATAATAAATTTTTTTTTATATTTTAATATGCACGTAGTTGAAGTAAAAATTTTTGAATAGTCTGTGTGACAATAAAGATTTTATTTTCCAAACATGTAATATTTTATAAGATTGAATTTTATTTTAAATTAAAAAGTTATTTAATAAAAAATATTTAAATCTTGATTTATGTGGAATAACGCAACTTGAAATAACAAATCATTCTTTATATTTATTATATGCACAGAATAACAACTTATAAAATAATTTATGAGGGAAAAAATTTGTTCTTCATATTCTTCCTTCTTATTATGCATGAAGTTCTATATCAATTCTTAATATATAGAAGTATACTGCTCCTACTTGCCATTTACGTTCCAATTTATAATGTAGAAAGGTATGCTGACTTCTTGGTATCATTGGCACGCAAATATACATAAACAGATACACACACGATGTTGGCATAAGGAACTAATAATTTAGATTGAGTCTGATAGATTAATCCGAACTTATTTGAAAAGTTTCGGACTAGGGATAAAAAATTATGAATTTTTTTTTAATTTTTGAACTAACCCAAATAGATCTAAAAAAAATCTAAGCCAAGCCCGATCGGGTTCAGACTTAGCTCGAATATTCAAATAAAAAATTTTATTTTTGCAAAAATATAAAATATAATCAATATTGATTAATTCTTTAAGTTTTAGGTCATTTTATATTAAAATATTATATATTTGAGTCTTATACATTGTTTAAATATAAAAAATATATTTTATAATTTTTATAACATAAAATAATTAATTTTAAAGTTAAAAAATAATTAAAAATGATTTTAAAATAAAATTAAGATATTCAGGCTATTGAAAGAATTCGAGTCAGACTTGACTATTATGACTTTTCAGAGAGTCGAACCTAGCCCAGCCCATTGAATTCCCATCTCTATTGGCATACATACAATAATATTAACAAGTCCAACCATTCTATGAATGATTACACAATAATTATGTTTTAAAATTTAACTTCAATGATATTATTTAAACTTTTTCTCATAATTATCAATGATGATATTTTTAAATAATAATTTCCTGGACTAAAATATTATTTTACCAATAATTATGAAGCAACACACCATAGAAGCTGTTCAGTCAAAAAAAAAAAGTCAAAATTTTACATGCACGTAATTTAAAATCAAAATGTCATGCAGATTACAAGACACGGTATAAACTTAAAACATGCATAAAATATAAAAAAATAATTACAAAACAAATTCAATAATAATTCCCATGCAATCTATCTAGTTAATGTAAAAGTATAATTGAAAAAGGGAGAATCACCCTAAGGGTCCTCAAAACATAAAAAATTGTACTTTGGGCATAATAGATACTGATAATGCATTGCAAGCTTGAGGGCCCTTTGTTGCAATTTTTGTTGATAGTGAAAATATAATTTGACCCCTCTCAAACCTAACCAAGCATGATCTAGTCTTCCTTCTCCTCTCATCTTCCTCTCCTCTCTTCCTCTATGTCTTCCTCTTCCTTCTCATAGCATTGTATTACAATTTCCCAATTCTTCCATTCCCTCCTCCGTGAGTGCAAGGGCACTTTGAGTTTTGACGTTATGGGGTGCTCTACTAGCCAATACAAAATAATATTACATCTGAACCATTTTATACTCTTGCATAAATAAGCAAAGTTCAAAGATGTATGAGTAAAAGTTATAATATTCACAAGTACATGTTCAAATTTACAAGTAAAAGTCCATATTTTGACAAACAAAGGTTTAGAATTGACATGTTGTTAAACCTCACAAATTTACAATTACACGTCCAAATATTTACAAGCATAGGTTAGCTATTCACAATTCAAAGTCTAGAATTTTTGACTTCAGATATTCATAACTCAGTGACAGCAAGTTTTGTTTTTGCAACTTCTAGAAAAGTTTCTCAAGTTTACAAACAATTGAAAGTCCTTATATAACATGAAAATATTCATTATTAATAAGACAATGTCTACCTATTTCATATGGTCTGCATGGTTATGTTGAATATTTGTAAAAGCTTTTTAGAGTTATGAACAACAGAAAGTCTGTATATAACATAATAAGGTTCATTTATTAATAATACAATGTTCATGTATATCACATGGTCCGTGTGGTTAAGTTGAGCATTTACAAATAACACGACAAGTTCTATTTAGTAACAACAAAGGTCCTTCTATATGGCACACCTAAACATCTACATAAGGTTCTTCTATTATTATAAGCAAAGTTCAAAAATGTACAAGTAAAAGTTCTTAATATTCACAAATACAGTTCAAAATGTATAGGTAAAAGTCCATATCTTGACAAGAAAAAGGTTCACAAATTTACAACCAAATATTCACAAGTGTAAGTTCATCAATTCACAATT